AGTTCGTGTCCTGGATTCTGTGCGTAACTTCACTACTACTACTTCTACAATCATTACAGTGTGCCAATCGTTTAGGATGCCATTTCCTTTTTTCACTGGTGCACGTAATGGAACGCTCACGTCTAACAATTCACTCCCCAACTTGGTGAGATGAGATCCTATTTCTCATTTTCATTTCAGCAGTGCTGGGTGTCTACTCAGTGAGCATACCATCGAAGGAATTCTGGACGCACGATTGCGGTGACCATATTCAGTCCTGTGCAACCTGATCTGACCTGACCTGACTGTGACGGCAGCTTGTCAGGTTGTTCAGTTTCTTGCACTGTTGAGCTCCAAAGATCTCCCGGTGCTGAGACAATAGGATGAAAAGGTTCATCTTCAGTGGTATACACGTAGAGGGGTGACTAAGAGAGAAACTCCAACCACAGCACCACAGCACTCTGTTGGTGTTTAGGCAGTGGCGCGTTGCACACTGGCCTCTCGGATGGGAGAGTCACACCAAAAAACTTGAAGCCCGTAAGGGTGAAAGATTGTGAGTTAAGAAGGACAATCGGAGGTTTTGTTAGAGAGGTGAAGAGAGGAAGTGGAAGTAGGGGGGTAAGAGAGTCATTGGGATGATGAGAGGAGGGGAGGGAGATGGAGATTCCATTCCTCATTCTCATTTCAGCAGAGCTGAGGGTAGACCTGATCGACAGTCACCCCCCCAGGCTATAGTCGCAATATTAAACTGACTACTCATAAGTAGCATCATCGCTCTTATATTCCATTTCCATGAATAAAAGACGAGAAACCGTGCATAAAAATTTATTAAATAAAAATAATTAGAGTAAAATAACAATAAGCACATTAATCGATGGGATAACGCTCACTGATGTGCTGCAAAAAGGTTTGAATGTCCATTTCAATGTTAGAGGGCGAAAAGTGAAACCATAGCGGTACTGAACTTCGTCTAGATGTTCCCACCTCCTATGCTGTTAATTCCACGAGCAGACACAAAGATATATCAGCAGCGAAAAACAAATCCATCGGGTGCCTTGGCCGATTCCTGTGGGGTCATAGCTTGACCGCAGACACAGTCACGCTTTTTGGCTAACAGTTTCCGGTCTTGCAGATATTCAACACAAGAGCTTCCTTCAATTTGTGATAAAAAGGACCTCATCCACGACGGGTGTGACATCTATAGCGCACAAAAGTGATTGAACATATAAACAAATTGAGGTAAATAAATATAACGTTGACCCATGCATATTATACATTTTTGAGTTGTATATTTAACAAGTAAATTTTCCATGTAAAATTTAATTAAAAATTGAACGAAATAAAAAGTTGAAGGGGGGGGGTGACTGTCGATCAGGTCTACCGAGCTGAGTGCCCACATAGTTAGCATACCACCGAAGGAGTTCCGAACGCCCGATTGACCGTGGCCATGTTCAGTCATATGCCACCTGGCTTGACCTGACAGGACTGATTGTTTTAATGCGCTAAGAGTACGCAGTAATACAAAAATCATCAGCTGGTACTGTTTTCGCTTTTCTTTCGTCCCTACAGATTAGTTACTCTATTTTTTTCGGTTCCTGATGTGAGGAATTCACGATTGTTTGGCCTCCACACCCTCCATCTCGACCCTCGCGCTATTCGGAATATATTTTCTGAAAAATGCTAGAAATTTCAACGAATCACTTCAATCATGCTCACATTAATGGAAACGCGGGCATGTACATTCACGAACCTGAAGAATCCCTCAGTTTTACAAAACGTGAAGAGAAAAATGAGTTCAATGGGAAACCGAAAGTAGATAGTTGTCTGGTAAATCAAGTGTGTGAAGTCAGAAATACTCCAAATCCACATGACGATGTTGCTCATGAACAGGACCGTCCACTTCGGCGTCGTTTCCGCGATGTAGACTCTATCCCGTTATTTGTGAGTACGCCGTCAAATGAAGAATCTATCGCTGCTGAAAACCCCTCTGTTGAGTATATCCAGAAGAAAGCCAGGCGTATATCCCGCATGTATCAAGATCGTTCGGCTGATCCATTTGAGGCCCTTGAAGTGGAGCCACTTCTCTTAGAGTACCTTGTGAGGCACGGTGCGTTATCGCAAGAAGCTTCAGAGCATATTTTGTGTGCCGAGAAAAATAATCAGAGAGCTTTGCTACTGACAGAGCTTGGATTACCTCTGTCTAACGATGCGTCTCTTCGCTCTGTTGATCCTGGAACTCCTCCCGCGGCGTTGACTACTGGATTCGCCCTTTTGCTGAATGCTTTGCGTCATACAGGACACCATTCTTTGGCGAGTCACCTCGATTGTGGTAGGAGAATTCGGCCTTCACCTGGGCTACAGTCCACGGATGTTTCAGAACAGGGTAAGTCATCTTGGNATCTTGGTTGGTTGCCATAACTTTATTAGTAGCTGTCTGGATATGGGACGGTTAGACGGTATTTAGTTTGTAATTCACTTCTGACCAGAGTTCACTCACCGGGACTATTCACGGCAAACTCCGGATGAAGCTGTTCAATAACCCCTTCCACCAATCGAGGGAACTAGCTTTGTGATCCTTGCGTATTGATTTGCCGGCGATGTTTTCTTGTTGCTTTTTATTGTTTCTGTATCTCATTATAACCGAATCGTGTAGATGTTGCACGAAAACTCTTGTTTAAGAAGGCCGAAACACCACAAAATTTCATGGGTGGTGCAAATTGTTTGATGAAGGTTATCTTTAAAGACATCCTTGGGGCTTTTTGTAGGCTAAATCAACTCAGTTCATTAGGCCAAATTGTGAAGATCGTAATCAGCTCGGAGTTGATGAAGTTTCTGTTTGTGGTTGGCAGCTTTGCTGTCTCCCGGTTCCATACCACGCCTGAACTAGCGGGATCTGTGGTTCGCTACTCTAAGTCCCGGGGATTAGGTTGCCGGTTACAATCACTGAACAACAGGTATTCGTGACCATGGAGTCCGCTCCGTCTGCTGTTTATCACACTAGATGTCGGATGTGTAGGCTACCATTATGTCCAAACTAACTGGTTCATTGGGAATCGAGTTTTAGCCAACTACCCTGACTATGACCCTATTTCCATAACGCTGAGCATTCACGTTTGTTTTTCTCTTTCAACGAGTGACCACTACGAGCAAAGGTACTAAATGAAGTGCATGTTGCGAAGCGTTCCTAGCGTGGACTCTCTCAACCTCAATCATTCGGTTCATGCAACCAACCAAAAACCATGCACTTTCTTGCGTTGGTTATCCGCAACAACCACCCAGTTCAATTATTGGGTTAGTTGTTGAGTTCTATCAGTGAAACAAAGACACCACGAGAAAGAATAAACCCGAACTTTTGCAATATTTCCTTAAAGGTCGTTTAGATAAACCTGGGGCGGTCTTAGGTAGCTGAGATAAGATAAACGAACTACATTTTACAAACCCCAGGGATAATAATTCACTTTTTGCTCTGGGCGGTGAGTTATACAAATTCACTAGATGTACTGTCCAACACATTGCTATCCGCAACCACACTGGAAAAATGGCAACTCTTTTTGTACTCCACTAGAAGCGGAGAGGAAGATCATAAGTTCACCATAAGCAATTATCTTTCCGAGGTCTTATAGTGCTTTTAGTATTAGAATGTTTCAATGAGACAGCAAGTAAGGGAGCTAATTAGAGCATCGCGGACAACTCTGCTTTCCTTATTTTTAGTTGCTTAAAAAAGAATTGCACAAAGTGATTTCCACGAAAGGGGATAAATCTCATAGTAAATAACACAGTAGAAGGGAAGATATTTGGGGGAGCATTCAAGTGAAAACCAATTTTTTAATCCTGCTTTGAAAAGAGTAAGATTATAAGTGGTTGAAAATACGGCGATGGATGAAATGTTCCACAGTTTTACAGTCTCGAGGATAAAAAAGGACTGGAAGATAGAAGTTCGGCTTCTGGGGACAGTAACTTGAGGTGGGTGACTGCGCGCCTGGGAGCGAGGTAGGCGAGAAGAGGACAAGAGGTGGGGAATGACCCGCTGGAGCCTATTCAGAGGAACAAAAACCAAAATAGTTGCAATTTAAAAGAGATGAAGAAGCAACTACCCGGCGATGGGAAGGTGACTTCAGATTGGACGTTGACGACGGTTCTTTGGCCAGCTGACTTGTCTTGCGTTGAACATGGTCAAGAAGAGAAGATGGAATACAAAGCTCTACGATATACGTGGCTGTAGTATTCGAGCGTCGAGCGGATTTGAGCTTGGGTGTAAAGAAGCGCTTTGCACGGAATAGAAAAACAACCTTGAGCGCAGCGCTAGAGGTGAGTGTGGAAATAAATTGAGACCAACTGAGAAGAATTTATGGATAAATCCAGGAGGGAGAGAGAATTTTCGGAGCGAAGGGGAAGCGAGTAAAAAAGCAGATACTTACTTTACTGCGGTTGGCTCTTTGGAAAGGATAAGCCGGCTCCATGAATGTCTCTAATGGTCGCTGTCCATGCTTGGTGGCTGGCTGCAAGGTCCTTGCAAATGTTGATCCAGTTTGTTTTCCATCGGTGAGTGCCGTACACCATCCGAAAGCCAAGTTGGTCGACTTTTTCGAATACAGTGTCCAGCCAGGTTTTTACTTGCCCACCTTGTCGGTGGCGCCAGCCAGGACATGGTGTCGAATTGAGGTGAGTAAGGGGACACGTTAAAGAAAGACGAAAAGGAGAAAACTTTTTAAAGCGCTGAGACACATGGTTAGTGGAACCTCATTCGGAGGTGTGTTCAAGATCGAAAGCAGGAGAATCACTAATGCCATTATCGTCGTGATCGTCATTGGTAGTGGTCTGACCGGTCCTAGGGTAAGAAAGAACAATCATGGGCAAAGTAAAGTTAAACAAACGTTGGGATATCTGAGCAGTAGCCCACTTTATCACTACCCATCCCGCTCGGTGCAATGGGCAGCGCGGTCCTGAATATCCTCCCCGACGACCGATGCATTATGGAATTATTTGTTGGTTGTGTATGCATGTCTCGAATCGAACATAAAGGCAACCGATTTCCGATCTGTGATCAGTCTGAAGTGCGTGCCAAGCAAGTTGCGTCTTCTTTTCCGGATAGCTTCGAAGATTACTTTGGTCTCTTTCTCTACAGAGGAATGATGCCGTTCACTTGGAGGTAGCCTTTGGGAAAAGAAAGCAACCCGCCTACGGTTCTGCGAGAGGATAGCCGAAATAGCTACGTCTGAGGCATCTGTTTCCACGACTAGTGGTATCTTCGGGTCGATGGTGATGACTACGTGGTCTAGTTCGCTTTTGAGCGTTTCAAAGGATATTCCGACGTCTTCTGGTAGGGGAAATGTGTTATTATGCACCAAGGGATATATCTTATCCGAAAATCGAGAAATCCAGTGGGAGTAATATGGAAATAAACCGATTGGCTGGCGTTGCGATTTGAGGTCTTTGGGAGGTGGAAGTTCTCGGAGTGGCTTCAATTGTTCAGGATCCGGTTTCATTAAACCGTGTGTGACTTCGTAACCCAGGCTTTTTACTTCTTTGGTATCAATGCACTTTTCTTCGTTTAGAGTAAGCCTATATTTTCTAACAGCGTTAAAAGAAATCGTTAGGTTTTTGTCGTGATCTTCTTTGTTCAGTCCGCGCACTGTAATGTCAATGAAGGTGAAGGTGCCAAACAGATTTTCCTCCTAAATGAGTTTATGGATTGCCCGCTAGAATCAAGCGACACTATTAGTCACTCCATAAGGTATTCGACAGAACTAGTACAGCTTGCCGCATGCTTCAAAGGCAGTGAATGGTCGATATTTTTCTATAGCGATTTGGTGGTATCAATTCGTAAATCTAAGGCACTGAAGACAGCGTATCGTGATATTTTAGACACCATTTAGTCTACTCGCGGCAGTGAGTAAGCGTCCAACAGCGTGCATCGATTAATAGTTTGACTATATATATTTACCACCGGCTTGAAAACAAGCATGGTGCCAACGCAACAACAATGACAGTGAAGGGGATAGGTGGA